CTCAACTGATATTCCGTCAATTCCTGGAGCCTAGTTTTTCGCCAGTGCCTTCAGTGCAGCGTGGACCTCTTCCTTCAATACCATCAGTTTATGATCATATGCTACTTCCTGAAATGGCTGAATGTCAACCAGTTCTTTTTGGTGTAGTGACTTTGTGTATTCCTTCCATCCTCTTTTGATGCTTCCTGTGGCATTTAATATTTTCCCTGTAGAATCCTTAAATAGTGCAACTGGAAGCTTGAATTTTTCTTCAGTTCTTTCAGCTTGAGAAATGCTGAGCTTGTTCTTACCTTTTGGTTTTCTGTCTCCACCTCTTTGCACATGTCATTACAATACTTTACTTTGTCTTCTTGAATCGCACTTTGAAATCTTCTGTTCAGCTCTTTTACTACATCATTTCTTTCATTTGCTTTAGCTGCTTGATGTTCAAGAGCACGTTTCAGAGTCTTTTGACATCCATTTTGGTCTTTTCTTTCTTTCCTGTCTTTTTAATGAGTCCTTGCTTTCTTCATGTCTGATGTCCTTGATGTCATTCCACAGCTCGTCTGGTCTTCGCTCATTAGTGTGCAATGCATCAAATCTGTTCTTGACATGGTCTCTAAATTCAGGTGGGATATACTCAAAGTCGTACTTTGGCTCTTGTGGACTTGTTCTAATTTTCTTCAGCTTCAACTTGAACTTGCGTGTGAGCAGTTGATGGTCTGTTCTGCAGTCGGCCCCTGGCCTTGTTCTGACTAATATTGAGCTTTTCCATTGTCTCTTTTCACAGATGTAGTTGATTTGATTCCTGTGTATTCCGTCTGGCGAGGTCCACTTGTAGAGATGCTGTTTATGTTGTTGAAAAAAGGTATTTACAGTGAAGAAGTCAGTGGTCTTGCAAAACTGTATCATGCGATCTCCAGCATTATTTCTATCACCAAGGCCATATTTTGCAGCTACTGATCCTTCTTTGTTTCCAACTTTCACATTCCAATCACCAGTAATTGTCAATGCATCCTGATTGCAGTTCAATCAATTTTAGACTGCAGAAGTTGGTTAAAAAAAAAAAAAAAAGAGAGAGAGAGAGAACTGGCATTTGTGGCTTAGCTAAATTCTGGACCGTAACCCCGTTTCCTCACTTTGTGTGCGTGGATAAGCCTTACTGCAATTATAAGTATTTTTGAATTGTCCTGTTTCCTGGAGATTGTTGGCCAGATAATTAGAAGTTCACCTATTTAATAAGGCCATTAAAAAAAAAAAAGATTTTTGATGACAAGAAGCTTTTGTGAGTATGAAATAAGGAAAATAGTTCATCTAATGGAAAATTTTTAAAAATTGCTTTATTCCTAAATGTATCCACTTTATGTATTTTAAAGGTTGGATCCTTAAGATAAAGAGAAGCTCTTAGTGAAATGTGACTTTTATTTATACTTCTAGTTTAGCAGTCTTTAAACTATTCATAGGTATAAAACAGAAACCAATTTCATAATTAACTGGTAAAACTATAGGCTTTAACATTTAATTTTTTCCTTTGTTTTCATCTTCAAATTATGGTTCTGAAAGACCTTATTAAAACAGCATTATAGAAAGACCGTCAGAAACATGGGTTGGTTGGAGGGTGGACTGGGTTTCTTCTAGGATCCAGTGTGCCATTCCCAAGCCTATTCATGCCTCTTTGTTTTCATTGTATTATTATGTGACTCTGTGGTCATGTTTATCATTTCCATTAAGGACTGAGGCTAGTGAAGTTAAAAAATTCAGTTTCTAAGTTAGATCTTGCAAATGGACACTGATCCTAGCAACACTAAAGCCAGGCCACCGAGGTACTCTTTCTTCGAGAACAGCCCGTTCCCACTCATAAAGCATAATCTGTGCCTTCCTCCTCATCGTCAGCGTGGAGGTGTATCGATTTTATTGATGTGCTCAAAGAATCAGCTTTTGGTTTCACTGACTTTTCTCTGTTGTGTTTTCTGTTTTCCATTTTATTGACTTTTGCTTTTTATTATTTTCTGTCTTCTGTGTTTAATGTAACTATCCCTGTTGCTGAGTTTCAGTCTTCCATCTTGCTAGTTTTTTCTGTCTCACTTGCTCTTTGTTCCATGTTTCCTCTTTACCTGCAGCCTGTATTTTTTTATGATTCCATTTTACCTCTACCATGAGTTTATTAGCTATACCTCTGTGTTTTTTAAGTAGCTGCCTAGGGCTTCCAACATACGTCTTAAACTTATCACCATCTAAACCAAAAAAAAAAACCCTATTGCCAGTGAGTCGATTCCAACTCACAGCGACCCCATAGTACAGAGTAGAACTGCCCCATAGGGTTTCCAAGGCTGTAATCTTTATAGAAGCAGATTGCCATTTCTTTCTCCCTTGGAGTGGCTGGTGGGATCAAATCGCTGACCTTTCAGTTGGCAGCCAAGCACCTAACCACCTTACCACCAGGGCTCCTTTATCACAGTCTACTTTTAAGTAATATTGTACCACTTTACGGAGCCCTGGTGGTGCGTGGTTAAGAGCTTAACTGCTAACCAAAACGTTGGCAGTTTGAATCCACCAGCTGCTCCTTGGAAACCCTACAGGGCAGTTCTACTCTGTCCCATAAGGTTAGTGAGTCGGACTCTACTTGATGGCAACAAGTTTAACAGGTACTACTTCTATAGAGTGTAAAGATATTGTGAAGTTATTCTTCGATTTACCGCCTCCCATTATATGTTTTACTTCTACATGTTCTGTGCACCCCACAATGTATTGTTTAAATTTGTACCAGTCAGTTATCTTACAAAGAGATTACAAATGGAAAACATGTCTTCTGTATTCACACTTACATTTACATTATGGCCACTAGTCATTCCTTTATGTGGATCTAAATCTCCAAGTTGTGTCATTTCTTTCTGCCTGAAGATCTTCCTTTAACATTTCTTGTAGTGTACATCTCTTTGTGATGAATTATTTCAGCTTTTGTTTTTCTGAAAAAGTCATTCTTTTGCTTTCATTTTTGAAAGATACAGTATCTGGGTAGAGAATTCCAAGTTAAGTTTTTCTTTAAAGATGTCTCTGTTGCCCTTGGTCTTCATAGTTTCTGCAGAGAAGTCTGCTGTCACCCTTATGTTTATGTCTCTGTGTGTAATGTGTCTTTTTTCTCTGACTGCTTTTAGTTTGTTTTGTTTTTTAACACTTGTTTTCAGCAGTTTGATTTTGATATGCATCAGCATGATTTTTTAAAAGGATTATTCTGTGTGGGTTTTTTTTTTTTTTTCTTTTACGGTCCTTGGATCTGTGATTTTTCAGTTTTCATCAAACTTGGAAGGATTTTGGAAAAAGAAGGAAGCACTGGTACATGCTACAACATGGATGAACTTAAAGCATTGCACTCAGTGAAAGAAGCCAGATGGAAAAGACTGGATTGTCTGTGGTTTCATTTGTATGAAATGTGCAGAAAAGGCACATTGATCCAAATAGAAGCAGATGAGTGGTTGCCTGAGGCTGGAGGAGGTGGGGAGAAGGAAGTGGGAATTGGCATCAAGTGGGCTGAAGGGAATTTTTTGGGTGATAGAAATATTCTAAGACCTTATTGTTGTGATATTGCATAACTATAAATTTACTAAAAATAATTAAATTTGTGAAGTTACACTGGGTGAAATTTATGGTATGTAAATTATACCTCATTAAAATAAAGCTGACAAAAAATGTACTTGTAAGCTCTAGAGTAGTACTAAATAATTTCAGGAAAATATTTTTGGGGATTTTAGAACATTATTTCTGTTTAATCACTCTGTTTTAAGTAGTCTTTTGGATTTTTTTTTTAATGTTGATTTTCAAATTCTCTAAGCCCATTGATTTTGCCTTTGTTTCCAAAGAAAAGGAGAACTGGCCCATCAGCACTGCCCCTTCTTCCCCTTTTGCCTGGTCTGTTGCAGCATGCTGGCCACGTCTGAACATGCTTGTGTCCCCTCCGGGAGAGTGAGGACAGAGTGTCACTCTACTCAACTTATTCGCTGCAAGGTTTCTACCTTTCCATTTTTTTTAGATGCATAAACTGCAGGGGAAAAGTGTCAGCAGCAGGAGCACTTAGACCGCACACCTTCCTTTGTTTTCTAATCCTCAGACTTTGAGTTTCCATAAAGGGATGTTCTCGTCAATGGCCTTAGCTCTCAGACTTTGTCTACCATACCGCTCCCTCCCCGGTGTATGTATGTGTATTATGTACATGTGCACGTGGGCTATACATGTAGTGTAGGGTTGAGTGGGGATGACCCCAGGTGTGGTGTAGGGATGAGATGGGCATGTCACCTCGGATGTGTGATGTACAGGTGGGATGGGGGTGTCCCCCCAGTTTGTGGTATAGGGGTAGGACGGGGTGACCACCCAGATGTGTGGTATAGGGGTGAGATGGGATTGTCCCCAGGTGTGTGGCATAGGGGTGGGATGGGGGGTGTCTCTGGGTATGTGGTGTAGGGGTGGGATGGAGGTGTCATTCGGTGTGTGGTGTAGGGGTGGAGTGGGGGGCACAGGTAGACCCTGGCCTTGCTGCACATCCATCAGGGTCAGCATTGACAAAGATCAGCTGGTGTTTCTGAGTCTCATCTTCCGTAGAGGATTCACCAGCCCTGTGGGGTTGTACATCTACACCTGGTCTCCTCATCCGTGGCCTCCTGAGACCCTTGGGGCTACCCTTGCAGGTGGTCAATGGGGGAGTTCCCAGAGGGACGGGTGGGGCCTGGCATATGTCCTGAAAGGTCCATGTCTTAGTTATCTGGTGCTGCTATAACAGAAATACCACAAGTGGATGGCTTTTTAACAAACAAACATTTATTTTCTCGCAGCTAGGCTTCAGGGCGCCAGCCTGAGGGGAAGGCTTTCTCCGTTGGCCCTGGAGGAAGGTCCTTGTCTCTTCAACTTCTGCTTCCTGGTTCCTTGGAGATCTCTGTATATTTTGGTGTCAGTCTTCCCCTGGGTTTAGGAGGTTCTCAGCAGAGGGACCCTGGGTCCAAAGGATGCAGTCTGCTCCTGCTCTTCTTTCTTGGTAGTAGTGAGGTCCCCTCCTCTCTGCTCACTTCTCTCTCCTTTTGTCTCTTGTGAGATAAAAGGTATGACTCAAGCAAGGGTGTGACTTAAGTGAGGGCATGACTTGAGTTATACCCTCTTGTAAGGCTTTGACTCAAGACACACCCCACGTTGATCATGCCTCATTAACATATAGAGATTAGGATTTAAAACACATTACAAAATGGAGAATTATTCACAAAATGGAGGACAACCGCACAATACTAGGACTCATGGCCTAGCTAAGTTGACACATTTTGGGGGGACACAGTTCAACCCATGAACGTCCACTTCCCGAAAGGACCTCTGCAGCTGTTCTTGCACAGTTGAAATCAGGAATGTCAGATGGCCTAGTGGCAGTGGTCGACTTTAATTAGGGTGGCCACAGAGCTGGGACCCCAGGAGGGAAAGGGGATACTGCTAATCATTAAACTGGGGAGACAGGTCAGTCCTGGGCAAGCCCATGCTGTCTAACCCAGTGGTAATGAACGTGTAATGACTGGATGCAGGGGAAGAAGCTGGGCTTCAGGGATCTTGTTACCAGACTACAATGAGCCAATAAAATATTCCCTTCCCTGTCCAGTCACCATTGCTGTGAAACACTTGTCTCAAGCTTAGTCATACAGAACAACAAGCATTTTATCATGCTTACAGATTCTGTGGGTCAGGAATTCAGGGAGGGCACAGGGTGGGGGTGGGGAGCTTGTCCTGCTCATAATGAGGACCCTCAGCTGGACATACTGGAATGCTGGGGTCACTTGATGGTGGGCTGGGTCTTCTGGAGGCATGCACACTCACATGTCTGGCATTGATGGAGGCAGTGGTTGGAACAACCACACAGCCTCTCCATGTGGCTGCTTGAGCTTCCTTACAGCATGGTGGCTGGGCTCCAGGAATATCTGTCCCCAAAAAACCAACTGGTAGCTGTATCGCCTTTTATGACCTGGCCTTGGAAGGTACATAGTGTCACTTTGACCACCCAGATCCAGTCCAAGAGGAGGGAACACACACCCAGCTTCTCAATGGGCAGGGGTGGGGTGGGGTGGGGTGCCAGACTCAGGTCATGAGAAGAACGTATAGGTGGAGATGCAGTGGGGGCCACCTTTGGAAATGCATCCTGCCATATCCTCCTTATACCTCCTTTCTACTTCCAGTACTCCCCTCCTTTGTACTTCTTGATCTCTCCCCCACCCCCAGCTAAATTGCCAGACCTAGAGACCCCATGTACCTCCAGAGAGAAGTTCAAGTTCACTTGTGGGGATCACACACCACACATTGCCTTTCTGCTCTACCTTTTGGCACAAATGCTTTTGAATAAACTTTAACTAGGCTTCATGAGAGCCTGAAACTGGTAGCTTCTCTTCCCAGGTGTTGGGAAGAGATCACTTAGTCCCCTGGGCAGCACTGCTGCTTTTGTTCACTGCAGCCTGTTTACCAAGCACCTCCTGTGCACAAGGCACTGTGCTGGGCCTGTTGCTCACAGGCAGTGAGGCCCAGCTCAGCCCCGAGTCTTGTGTAGAGTAGGGTGTCTGTGCACCTCCTCCACATGCCTCTGCTCCGTACCACTCACCCTGAGTCCCGTGTAGAGTGGGGTGTCTGTGCACCTCCTCAATGCACTGCTGCTTCATACCGCTCACCCCAAGTCCCGTGCAGAGTGGGGTGTCTGTGCACCTCCTCCACGCACCGCTGCTCCGTACTGCTCACCCTGGGTCCTGTGTAGAGTGGCGTGTCTGTGCACCTCCTCCACGCACCGCTGCTCTGTTCCATGCAGGACAGGGTCTGCACGGGAGCCATGAGTGGGACACTGCAGCATCTAAAGGGAGTTGCGGCCAGTCTCTTTCCGTCTATTCCGTGTCCCTCCGACTGCCACATCAGTGTGATAGGGCAGCACGGCAGAAGAGCTGATGTCATACTGCAGGTGCTTTTTCAGGAAGAAAAGGTTATTTATGGTTTGCCTTTCTCCACCCTGTGGTCTAGGCCAGCATTTTATAAAAAAAATGTTAAGGCAAACCCACAGAAAGCCCTCTCACTTTTTCTTTCACGTTTGTAGACCAGTGCTCATGGTTGATTAAAGTTGCAAAGACTCCGTCAGCCTCAGAAGCTGCAGTTCCATGTTATCTTCCACCTGATCCTCTTTCTTGATGTTAGACCCCCGCCCAGCATGCTTCTGGCTTTCATCAGAAGCAGCAAGCTGTAGGATGAGGTTGGGGGTTGGGATGCAGGAACCTCACATTGGGAATGGCCTAAATCAGCTAATGTCCCAGAGCAGAGCCGAGCGGCTCTCGCACTTCGGCTGGTGCGAAGCTCGCGGAGCGGCTGAGCACTGGGACTCATCTTTCGCCTTACGACAGCTGCTCATTAAACCCTGATCCTGGGTCTCAGGGTCGAGGGGTTTGTATATAGGAGTTAAGCCTCTTTATCTTCATGTTTGGGAATACCTTTTTGAAACAGAGGGTTCTGTCTCACTGCTTTTAATCAACATATTCCTTTTTTTCCCTCAAAATCTTTTTGCCAGCCAGTATAGACAAGACAAGGAGCCCTGGTGGCACAATGGTTAAGCGCTCAGCTGCTGATCGAAAGGTTGGCAGTTCACACTCACCAGCAGCTCCACAGGAGAAAGACCTGGTGATCTGCTTCTGTAAAGATTATTGTTGCGTGCTGTCGAGTCAATTCCAACTCATGGAGACCTCGTGTGACAGAGTAGAGCTACCTACTCTGTCATATAGGGTCTCTGTGAGTCGAAAATCGACTTGAAAGCGCTCAAGAAAATAGATGCAACAGACAGTTTAAAAAATAGGTATTGGTCAGACCAGACAAGAGGAAACCTCATTATTGGTCAGGGTCGTTGACTTGGAGGGAAAAAAAAAGAAATGCAAGAGCCGCTTCTACTTTACAACTATTTTTAGTATGTGTTTTTTGGAGAGAGGTGTAAAATGTTCCACTGATGTGCTTTTACAGTAGGAATGGGACATGGTTTGCTCAGTAAGCACACCAAATGCAGCATAAATAGAGAAAAAGGGAAGAAGTGGGATCAAGTAACAGAGGAGAAAGGAGAGGTGAGGAGGGGCGAGGGGGAAGAAGAGAGACTGGAGGTATGTGCTGGGGTGGGGCTGACGCCAGTGGATGGACAGGAGCCCCAGGGAGCCCTGTCGGGTTGTCCTGTGTCTACCCCTCAACTGTGGCTCCTCTTTTCAGGGTGCCCTCCTGGCAGGGTGGTACCCCTCACTCTGAAGCCTAACCCTGCTGCTACTTTCGGAGTGTGGTGGTGAGGCCTGGGTGTGACCAGCGGCTCACACTGCTCATGGCCCATGGGGTGACCAGGCCAGGGGTGGAGGCATGGGGGTCCACACACGTAGCTAGGGTGAGTCCCGTGAGCCCGTGAAGTCTGATTCAGGACTGATGGCTCCTCAGTCCTTGGTCAGGTTGTTAGACTTTCCTTCTGCCGCTCCTGCCAGCCTGTAATGAGAACAAACGAAAACCCAAAACAAACACAAATCTTCGCTCCTTTGGCATAGGTTTGACAGGCTAAGTACCATGTTTAAAATGTCAAAATGTTAACATTTCTAATAATGAAAGCGCTAATATGACTCGGTAAAATGGATTGGACAGGCCCGTGGAGTGGCCCCTTTGTGGGGGGCTGTGTGTTACAACGTCTCTTGCAGCCGAGACGCAGCAGCCTGGGAGCAGAAAGCAAGAGTGACCATACGCAGCAGGGCGGGGCTCAGCGGGCAGAGCGCACCAGCTGCCTGGTGCTCTTGGTGCCTGCTGCGCGGAGCGGAGCTGCGAGGCTCTTCTTGTACGGCCTGGCAGGCGCTTGTTTGGAGCTGCCCACTGCCTGCCCCTCGCTCCGTCCAGGCTTCCTGGTTCCCAGAGGTTGTTTCTTTCTACCTCAGACCTTCCTTTAGTGCCAGTCTGCTGGTGATGCTTGCTTTCAGTTTGTGTGAACGTGTCTTTATTTTAGAAGAATATGCTCATTGAGTGCAGAGTTCTGGGTGGTGACAGTTTCGTCGCTTTGCAAAGGTCCTTCCATAGTCTTCTGGTTCCTCCGCCCCCTCCCCCCTTTCTCGCCTCTTCTGCGGCTCACCTTCTGTCTTATTGTTGCTCCCTTGAATGCAATTTTGCTTTCTCTGACTGCTTTTAAGGTTTTCTCTTTGCTTTTCAGCAGTTTTACTATGATGTGTCCAGTAGCGGTTTTCCTTTGTATTGTGTTTATCTTGCTTGGGGTGCATAGCATTTCTTTCTTTTTTTTTGTTTTAATTGTGCTTAAAATGAAAGTTTACAGATCAAATTAGTTTCTTATACAAAAATTTATACTCACACTGCTGTGACCTTAGTTACTCTCCCCATACTGTGACAGCACGTTCCTCCTTTCCACCCTGGATTTCCCATATCCATTCAACTAGCTCCTGTCCCTTTCTGCCTTCTCATCTCACCTCCAGACAGGAACGGCCCATTTAGACTCACGTATCTACTTGAGCTAAGAAGCACACTCTTGACGAGCATCATTTTATGTCTTATAGTCCAGTCTAATTTTTGTCTGAAGAGTTGGCTTCAGGAATGGTTTTAGTTTGGGGCTAACAGAGGGTCTGGGTGCATGTCATGTGGGGTCCCCCCAGTCTCAGTCAGACCATTAAGTCTGGTCTTTTTACTAGAATTTGAGTTCCGCACCCCACTTTCCTCCTGCTCTGTCAGGGACTCTCTGTTGTGTTCCCTGTCAGGGTGGTCGTTGGTGGTAGCCAGGCACCATCTAGTTACTTGTGGTGTGAGGCTGATGAAGTCTTTGATTTATGTGGCCCTTCTGTCCCTTGGGCTAATATTCTCCTTGTGTCTTTGATGTTCTTCATTCTCCTTTGCTCCAGGTGGGTTGGAACCAATTGATGCATCTTAGAAGGCCATTGACTAGCTTTTAAGACCCCAGATGTCACTCACCAAAGTGGGATGCAGAACATTTTCTTAATAAACTTTGTTATGCCGGTTGACCTAGATGTCCCTTGAAACCATGGTTCCCAGACCCCCGCTGGTGCTACTCTGTCTTTTAAAGTGTTTGGTTGTATTCAGGAAACTTCTTAGCTTTTAGTTTAGTCCAGTTGTGCTGACTTCCCCTGTATTGTGTGTTGTCCTTCCCTTCACCTAAGATAATTCTTATCTACCGTCTAGTTAGTGAATACCCCCTCCCTCCCTCCCCACCCCCATAACCATCGAAGAATGTTTTCTTCTGTGTTTAAACCTTTTCTTCAGTTCTTATAATAGTGGTCTCATACAATATTTGTCATTTTGCGACTGACTAATTCACGCAGCGTAAGGCCTTCCAGATTCATCTATGTTGTGAGATGTTTCACAGATTCATCGTTGTTCTTTATCATTGTGTAGTATTCCATTGTGTGAATATACCGTAAGTTTATCCATTCGTCCATTGATGGACACCTTGTTTGTTTCCATCTTTTTGCTATAGTGAACAGTGCTGCAGTGAACATGGGTGTGCGTATATCTATTCATATGACAGCTCTTATTTCTGTAGGATATATTCCAAGGAGTGGGATTGCTGGATCGTATGGTACTTCTATTTGTAGCTTTTTAAGGAAGCACCAAATTGATTTCCAGAGTGGTGTACCATTCTACATTCCCACCAGCAGTGTATAAGTGTTCCAGTCTCTCCACAACCTCTCCAACATTTATTATTTTGTGTTTTTTGGATTAATACTAGCCTTGTTGGGGTGAGATGGTATCTCATTGTAGTTTTGATTTGCATTTCTCTAATGGCTAACGATTGTGCACATGTCCTCATGTATCTGGTAGCCACCTGAATGTCGTCTTTGGCGAAGTTGCCTGTTCACATCCTTTGCCCGTTTGCCCACAAATTGGGTTATTTGTTTTTCTGTTGTTGAGGTTTTGCAGTATCTTGTAGATTTTAGAGATTAGATGCTGATCGGATTTGTCATAGCCAAAATTTTTTCCCTGGTCTGTAGGTTGTCTTTTGACTCTTTTGGTGAGGTCTTTTGATGAGCATAAGCATTTGATTTTTAGGAGCTCCCAGTTATCTAGTCTCTCTTCTGGTGTTTGTGCACTGTTAGTAATGTTTTGTGTTCTATTTATGCCATGTATTAGGGCTCCTTGTGTTGTCCCTATTTTTTCTTCCATGATCTTTATTGTTTTCGATTTTATAGTCAGGTCTTTGATCCATTTTGAGTTTTGTGCATAGTGTGAGGTATGGGTCTTGTTTCATTTTTTTGCAGGTGGTTATTCAGTTATGCTAGCATCATTTATTAAGACACTGTCTTTTCCCCAATTAATGGACTTTGGGCCTTTGTCAAATATCAGCTGCTTATAGGTGGATTAGCTTATATCTGGATTTTCAACTCTGTTCCATTGGTCTGTGTATCTCTTGTTGTACCAGTACCAGGCTGTTTTGACTACCGTGGAGGTATAATAGGTTCTAAAATCAGGTAGTGTGAGGCCTCTCACTTTCTTCTTCTTGAATAATGCTTTACTTATCCGGGGCCTCTTTGCTTTCCATATGAAATTGGTGATTTGTTTCTCCATCTCATTAAAAAATGCCGGTGGAATTCGGATCAGGATCGCATTGTATCTGTAGATAGCTTTGGGTAGAATAGACATTTTCACAATGTTGAGTCTTCCCATCCATGAGCAAGGTATGTTTTTCCACTTATGTAGGTCTTTTGGTTTCTTGCAGTAGTGTCTTGTAGTTTTCTTTGTATAGGTCTTTTACGTCTCTCGTTAGATTTATTCCGAAGTATTTTATTTTCTTGGGGGCTACTGTAAATGGTATTGATTTGGTGATTTCCTCTTCGAAGTTCTCTTTGTTGGTGTAGAGGAATGCAACTGATTTTTATGTGTTTATCTTGTTTCTTGATAACTTTGCTGACATCTTCTATTAGCGCCAGTAGTTTTTTTGTGGATTCTTTGGAGTTTTCTGGGTATAAGAACAT